AGCACCACGTCTTTTTTGTATGGTAGCAGATCTATCCTTAATTATTGCTAAGAAAATTGCAGACACGCATGCAATTTAAAAATCAACAATAAACTTGCTTTCTCTCAGCCAATCACAATGAAGTAATCTTCACAGTCCCCTAGTAAGTATAACTAACTTACCTTTTAGTAGTTGTTTAATATCTGCTGATGCTTTAGAGCTTGTGAAGAGATTTACCACATCAAGTGCTGTGTGTCCTTCATCGTTCCTGATGTTCACATCAATGCCCCACTAAAATTGTAAACAGAATGATATAAGACAAGAGAAGCAGTTGAAAAGCAGAATAGATTAAAGAATAAAGGTTAAGGAAAAAGGATTATTACTAATTTACTTACATCAAGAAGGAACTTTACCACATCAGTTTTACCATAAAGAGCAGCTTCATGTAAACACGAACCATTGCTTGTGGCCTGATTAATGTCTGCGTCAGCTTCCAGTAACATTCTGTTAAAGGGAACATTGTTAATGAACCCATGTATAAATATCCATCAAGGAGCAGCAAGGTGACTATTCATGAATACAATAACAACAAGAAGTCTAACATTTCATGTATTTTTAAGCCAAAAATCAAGACTAATTAGTTATGTTTCAAGGGCAACTCAGGAACAATTATTGTGGTCTATCAATGAATAATAAATGGCAACAGAGCCAATCGGATTTTGAGATCTACAACTATAGAATATTACCAGTGAATATTAGATTTGATAGCCATATTATACTGCATTGTACAGTGTTTACACATCTGATACAACATTTAAAAACACTTTGACAGTACCATAACCTAGGGGAAAGGAACTTGGCAAATTTTTACTCCAGTTTCACAGTCCAATAGTGATTCTTGTTTACATGTACATGTATTATTTCTTTTAGCCTGAGAGAAATCAACTTAAACTCATTGCAACTTGTTTTACCTTACTTCAATGGATCTATAACTATTCAACTTCCCTTAAAAGTTTTCTTGTATAGATCTGCCATAAAAATTTTCAAAGAAAAGAAAAACACAAAATAGCCTTGATTAGCTTGAGCTCTAACCTTACTATTTCCAAATGACCTGTCTTACAGGCTAAGTGTAATGGAGGATCTGTTTTATAGGTTTTACCATTAGTTAAAGCACTCTTCACATCTCTGGATGCAAGCAAGAGTTCAACAGCCTGGAAGAAATGGCAACAAATAAATTTAATGCAAAGAATTATGAAGCATGTTAAATTTTATTAGGCTAGCCTGAGTGGCAGGCATCCGAAGGAGAGGGAAAGGGAAAAAAAGAGCACGCAAAACATGCTAGATCCTCCCACGTTCATTTTGACCCTTTCCCTCCCCTTCTATGGCCTGCCACGCAGGCCATTATTATGTTGAAAACAGAGAGGATCTTAAAGTTCCTCTCTGTTTCATATAATAAATTCTTGAAGTGTGAAATCAAGGAAAACCAGACAGCCAGGGAAACATCATTTTTCATTCAGAATTCTCTATATCATATAATTGAGCAAGATTGCTAGTACCTGAGGGATTCTACCCAAACATTTGGATACCAGTATGTAGTATGCTTCTTTGAAATCGCAAACTCATTTTAGCATAACATGGTTATTCCCTACATTACAAGTATTTCAGACATGACCCAAAATTCAATACCTTATCTCAGATTCAAATGATGATTGTACATGTGAGGGCCTGTCTGGGGTTTTGGGGAATCTGTATGATCATTTATTTCAAGGGAACAAGGGATATTTTCAGAATTAATTTGAGACAACAAGGGATTTCTTGACTGCTAAAGGGAACTTTGAAAACAAAGTTTAAGGAACAATGGAATTTATTACTGGGGAACAAGGGAGAAAAAGTGAAATTTTAAAGGGATTAAGTGAACATGAGGCTTTTAGTCAGGATTCAAAAAGTAGGCATACAAAATGTGCTACAGGGCCTGCTCAAATGAACAATTTATAAGGCAACATATGAAAAATAAAACAATTTTCCTTAAAAATTGGCCGTCCAAAGGATGCCTAGACGCCAATCCGGCTAAAAGCCTGGAGAACATGCTACCCCCTGAGAGGCCCTCACATGTAGTCTGCTTCATTTTCATATTGCCAGGGTTGTAACTTTCCCATGTTGATCAATCCAGAATGGATGTTCAAAATTTGGAGAATTTAGAGGATGTCATGAAATTTGGCTCGTGAATTTATCAACCAGCAAAACACCCTGTTTCAATTCATATAAGAGTAAAATAATGTCACCATGCTACATACATGTACATGTCCGTATCTGCAAGCAAGGTCCAGAGCAGTCTCTCCTTTGTTATTTACAGTCAGGGAACTACAATTCCTGTCTAGAAGTACATCTGCCTGCAAATGAAGATATAACAAAATATTTTTGAAAACAGCCTTAAGAAAATATGTGCCCTGACTGGTTAAAAATCGTGTTTCTATAACTTGATAGAAACACAGAACTAGCACGAGCTGTTGCCGTAATGATGGCGCGAGCAAAGAGAATTTACATTTTGATGATCAAAGTAAACAAGTTGTTNAGAACTCAAAAAAGCTGTGGAAATACTCACCTACAGCTCGTGTTCCCACAGCATTTCTCGTTCTCCCAATTACTCCCACTCGTGTTTCTATAACTCAATAGAAACATTCTACATGTTTCTTAAACGAAATAGCCTCATAGGCATGTGTGTGTGCACAGGCTATACAGTATGTTGTTAATTCATGCAAGATAAAATAAAAATCTGCAAGTCTGATTTTTGGCAAACTATGAAAATGTGAAATTTTGCCTATTCTAAAAATACCTCAAAATCTGTATCGCAGATTCTTATTTCAGTTTGTGGGAATGTTTAATCAGAATCAATGCCTAATTCCCAAAATTTTGATTCCTGGGTAAATTTTGGGAAAAACATTTATAATTTAAAACTACTAGTGTCCACTCTTCTCATAAGCATTTGTAGTTCATTTTGGCTACCTGTAAACATTTGTATTTTAAGTGTTGCATATGATGGTTAAAGACTTGAACCAAAAGTATTTTAGAGAAAGAAACATTTTTTGAGCATTTAACAAAAGAGTATTGAGCTGGGCTCTTTTACATCCTCAAAACAGTAGTAAACCACCTTAATTTAATTAGGTAAGTAAGCACGGCTCGATGGAAGAACGCGTGTGATGTGAATTGATACTGTGAATAAATAAAGAATACCTACCTACCTATAAAGAGGAAGACCATTCATTATCCTTTATTTGCAAATAATACTACAGAAGTTTAATTTAGTACCATCCTTTCAACATACCACATCAGAGTTGCCATGTTGACAAGCTAAAATAAGAGGAGTCTCTCCATCGTTTGAGCAGGTATCCACTTCAGCTCCAGTCTCCACTAACAACCGAGCTACTTCAACCTTTCCTGACCAAGCAGCTAAATGTAAGGGGGACATCCCTATAAAGGCAGTGTTGATATAAAAGTTAATTATTAAAATAAGTTCCTTAACTAACTATCCCTATTACTTATCATGCCACTTATAACTGAAGGGCAAAATATTGCAAACTGAAAACTGAAAATAATATGTTAGAAACTTACACTAGAAAGTCAAGGTTTCATACTCTACATGTAACTCTTCTGCACAACCTACATGCAAATGTAAGAATGGCAGTTTTTGAATTTTGTTGTTTTATTTTTGTGGTGACTGCAATAACACTGATTTCCTAGGTTAAAATTTTGGAAAAAAAAAGAAATTTGAAACAAGAAATACCAGCAAGCCAGTGCTCCTCTGCTTAATTCCAATTATACATCAAATAGTGTACATTGAAATATTTAAACGTTTGTCTTGTTACATGTAACTTGTATTGGTAATAATTTTTTTGTGTTTTTAAATCCAGTCAAAATGTCACAAACTCAAAGGCGAGTTCAATTTGAAATAAAATTTCAAACACCGAGTAGCGTAAATTCTTAATCCCCCGAGCATTCATATTGTCACTCCTTTGTTGTAACACTGAGAAAATTATAGATGCACCTCAGTGTTCCATCTAAGTTTTTAGAGCAAAGGGGCACAATTTATCAGGCAGGTCCCCAAAGATGGGTATTGCCAACCTGGTGTAGTTAGTGGTAGAAGAGGTGGTTCAGGGAGGGAAGGCCTTGGGAACTCCCCCTGGAAATTTCAAGAACTTTGATGTTTTATGGTGCCCTTTCATAATAACATTTGGGAGAGACAAAAACACGCAAATCAGTTCAAATTATCTTTTGTATTAATCAATTGACCTTCTAATACATCAATTCTTGTATGGTCATGTCTGTTTGGTTCCTTTAAGAACCTATTATCAGTAGTTCCACGATTTTCACTGGGCTTCTGGTTCTTGTGGTGCAAAAAAAATTAAGTTAAAATTCTCCCTTTCTGCTGTTCTGCTTTTAAAACTGGTTCAGACAGACATAGAAAAGAGCTGTTTTCTTCCCTCTAAACGTCTTCTTGATAATTCACTCTAGACAGTCTTCTCAGTACTCTGCATGTTTCTCTTGTCAGCCGAAAGTAAAAGGAAATGGACTCATGTGACCAGGAAGTAGCTGTGACCATGGGGCCATTCACCCAAGACCCATCTCTTATTTGGAAAGTTGCACCTGTATTAATTTGCATTGCAATGCAAATTAATACTTCATGATAAATTTGCTTGCTCTTGGTCATCACAATTAAGATATTTTCTCAGTCTGTAATAAGCACAAAAGTCACCTTTCTTATCTTTAGCATTGACGTCACACTCCAACTCAATGAGTCCCATAACAACTTCACTACTGCCAGTGAGAGAGGCATGATGGGTAGCTGTAAAACTGTCAACAGAAAAAGAATTGACATTGAAAAAAATCCCACCACACAAAAATTGAATAAAAACATACAAGTTTACAGTATTTTCACAATTAAATTCCACAGGTATTTATTTGAATCAGGTATTAATTCAGTACCCGACATTAACTAAAAAAAAATGGAGTAAAGATGTTGTTTCTAGACTCTGTAGTAGACATTATCAGTGACAACATACCGAAGCAGAGTCAATGTTTTAGCGATCACAAGCTTTCGACCCTGTCATAGCAACTTTATCAAGAGAATGTGGTGGGAATCTATTTGTCACACAAGCTTGGGTGGACCAAGTCATGTGCCAAAACATCCCCATATAGGGCCAGAAGTTCAAATCCACCGTTTCCATCATTTTTGAGAACCTTATTTTCTGTCAGTAATCCCAAAAGTTCAAGCAAAATTTAAATTAAACATTGAAGAAAACAAGAATATAATTTCTGAGACAAAAGGTACCATCTGTGGAGTTGCTTATTCTGTA